GAGTAGCACACTCTTCATTACCGCCTCTCTTAACAGCCGTTATAACTGAACTAAGCTATACTCTAGAAACTTTATCTGCAATTAAGGAAAAATAACGTATTAATTTGAGTAAAGTAGTAATTATAAATACATAATATAATAGTAACTTAACGGTAGAGTAATATATCTTATATTATATAAGTTATTTAATCTTTATAGTATAAAAAAGTCGGTATAGTTTTTAATATCACATAGTACTTAATATACTAAAATTCAATTTAATAAAAAGTGATTAATCTTTTTAATATTTAATAAATAATAATATATTATTAGTTTCCTATTTTTTTGTTATTCATTTAGTAATTTATTATGTTAATTAGTTTTCCTTTTTTATATAAGATACATTGCGCTGCACCTTGATACTAAACTGAAGGTATCCTAATTAAAGGTACTATAAAATATAGAGCTATGCTATAGGTAGTTAAGGCCCACAATGAAGGAAATTAGCCTCTAGCTAATGGCCGGTAAGTATTTTCGACAAGTCAGTCATTCCTCGAGAAACTCCAATTACTAAAAATATCAAAATTTAGAGTTTCAACGTATAGTAAGTGAAGTTTGCGCCTAGTAAAACTTCGGTAACATTCGATTTTTTTGATGCTGTGAGCGCTGCGCTCTAATAATACGAAAGGATCTTTTTTGTATCGGTCTTTTAAGGGTTTATAATATTACTGTTTGGATTTATGTTACACCTTCGTTATTAGCGTTGACTTTTCTATTTTTAACAGTAGGTAAGGCTACTATTTCTTTCTTTTAGATTGTGCTCCAGCGTTTTGTTTTTTTCAAAAAAAGTTACTTATTATAATTTATTTATAATAGAAAATAAAAGAAGGATTTCAGATATTGTATTTTTAAGATAAATATTTCATTAAAAGCTTTTGGTAAAGAAATAATTAATGTTATTAATATTTTTTCTTAATAAGCTCACGATCTTTAAAATCTAGTAAAAATAATAATAATTAATAAAACAATAACTAATAATCCTAATCTTAATTACTTAAAAAAAGTTTTATTAGCGGCTATTTATAAAGCTTTAAAACTGAGACGGCATACAGCAGAGAGCATGGTACAGAATTAGGGGTGCAGGGAGCAAAGGGAGCAGAAGAGGGCTAGGGCTAATAAGAGAGCAGGAGGAAGCACAGGTCATGTGGGGCACGGGTAGGAGCACAGGCTGGGCGGAGCAGGGCAAGAATATCTTGGAGGGCAAGCAGGCTACGCACAAAGTTTCGTTTCTTTTCTTTTTCATTTTACGATTACATTAGCTATAAAAATACAGTATTAGCTGTGACTTATTAGCACTTTAGGTTCGTGACAAAATATATTGCAAATTAAAAAATAAATAGTTTATAATTACCAACAAGATTTTACTGCATTTCCGAGAAAATATTATAAGTAATTATATAAAATAAATCACTTATATTTATTTAGTTTTAAATGCATTGAAATCTCAAAGATATAAAAGTAATAATCCATATGAAAATAATATTCTTATTATTATAGAACTTTTATAAAACTCTAATAAGTACTAAATAAGATCAAGTTAGTAATATTGAAAAGATTTTACTAATTAAACTTTAAAAAATAATTAAATTTGATATGGTAGTTTTTAAATAAAATAGCATGTAGAAATTTAAAGGTAAAGCTTTTATAATTTAACAATATAAAAGTTTAAAAGTTAACTTCTATAATAATAGTTACAGTTAAATAAATTTAAATTAAGTTTCGTTTAATTTCTATAGAGTCTATTAAATTAAAGTAAAAGAAATTAAATTTTAATTATTAAATAAACTACTAATAGCTTAAGTAATCCAAATAAAGCTTCGCTTTACTTTTCTATAGTTAAGTTTGCGCCTTCAGGGACGTACACTACACATGCAGTCAAAAGTCTTGTACTATAGTAAAATCTCCTATTACAAACGAATGTCAATATCATGAGATTGCGTAAATAAACTAAGAGAGGAAAAAGCACTAGCTACAAGAAGAAGATACCCGAGGCTATAGCACTGACCCTGCCCGGCTCAGAGCACACTGGTTCAACTAGACGGGTAGAACCCTAACCCTTAGCATGGGAAACCATGACATCTCCATGTAAATATGGAAAAAGGAGAGAAGGCATACAAGAGAGGGACCAGTTAGTCCATAACATATGTAAGCTCGTCTAAAGAAGCATAGAACTGTCGACCTACTACTCTGCCTTTTATCTCGAGTCTTATTTCGTCGGATCGCTAACATCTTCTCTCGTATCAAACCGTACCCAGCTGCGGCACCAGCAATAGCAAAATAATACCTAACTATCTATTAAGAAACACGATTATTATGCACCTCTCTAAGGCGCTTAACCCAGTGCTTCCGCAATGGCTCTGGCATCTTGCAGAAAAACATCGCTTTGTTCTCGTCCGTCAGCAGCTTTTCGGCGATTTTGATCTGCAAGTCGGGGTCCTCCTCGCGGAAATCCCCAAACAAGATCTCCATAGCCTGTTCCTGCCAAGTAGGGCGAGCCTTGGCCCCACGGAGAGCCTCGGCTAGAACTGTGATGTCACTGGCGACGGGAGGGGCGGTTGGGAGCGACGGGTGGGTGCCGACTGTGTGAGATGATGCGACAGCAATGCCAGTGCTGTTGCTAGTGCTGCTCCCGCTGCTTTGAGTCGCGTGATTGCTGAGAGCAGGATGCAGGGCGTGGTTAACATTGTTTGCGGTCGCTACATGAGTCTGCTGTTGCTGAAGATCGATGTAGTTCGGAGGAGCAGTGCGCCGACGCTTGTCAGATTGGATGGATTGATTCGTAGTCGCGGCGTTGTCGCCGGCGTGCATGCGCTTCCTTGGTTGCTGTGGGTTCTCTTCTGGCGGTGTCAGTGCAGAGGTTGTGGATGGAAGGGAGGCGCGAGGCTGAGGCGGCGGGGCCATTGCCGCTGGGGGCCGTGAAAGCTGTTGTGAAGGCGCCGGGAGAGGGGTCGGCATAGAAGGCGCGACAATACTAGGCTGCTGCGGAAGAGGCGGCGCAATATGCGTCTGTACAGGATTGAGATAGCTCGTGTCGGTGAGCATGTCCATGATAGATGTGCCGGGTGCGTCCGATTCATCGGTGCTATTGAGGCTGTCCGGTCCTTTCCTGCGAGGTTTGGTAAGACGCTTAGGGGCGCCGCCAGATCCAGGCACGTCAGGGAAGAGGATCTCGTAATATTCTTCGTGTTCGAAAGGTCGACCTTTGAGCGAGCGAGCTAATGGTTCTTTCTGTACAACACATTGAAGTCAGCAAGGCGGTTATAATCAAGATGTCGCAATGGCGGCGACGTACCTGGAGATGCCTAGCCCAAGCCTCTTCAGTGCCAGTCACTGTCCTGTTTTGTGGATTGTAGTAGAAAGAGTTATCCTCCCTCAAGCCAATCCACAGGCGGTACTTCTTGCGGGCATTGTCACTCTTGTTGATGAGATGACTCTTGTTGGCATAGGCATTGTGTTTGTCGATAAGGGCTTGGATAGCACGGTCCCAAGCCTGGGGCTTGAAGGTGCTGCCTTCGCGCAGACCCAGGTTGACTGACTCGCATAGCGAGCGGAAGAAGGTAGCTTCGTACTGCGAGTTCCAGGTGAAGCGCGGGCCACGATGTTTGCCCGGGGTGCTGTCGGAGGGTTTGGCGCCTGGAGGAGCAAGTCCGTAGTCCTGGTCAGACATGGCGTCCAGCACCCACGTAGGTGGGACCCCGAGGAGGACCGGAGCAGCCGTTTGGGTTAATGGTTTGCAGCTTGGCTATGGACGATACGGCGGGCTATCGGTGGCGGCAGCGACGGGGTCGGCTAGAGTGGCGATAATGCTTATAAATGTAAACTGGTAGCAGTTGGGCCGAAGGTGCTGCGCAGCTGAAACGGAGAAGGGATCCGACCACAGTTTATCAGTGCCGTGGAGTTGGACTGTACCGGACACTTAGATCAATTAGAGGGCCGAGGCAAATGTTATGCTAGCTATAGGTTAAAGGTAAAGCAAGATGGAAGTAGCCGATGCATAATACTGTTTATAGTAGTAAAAGAAAGACCGTTTTGTAGTATCAACTGCGGCTAGCTAGTTGATGGGTATGATGTTGGGAGTTTGAGGTGCAAAGACGGTGGAGCGGGAGTGGAGGCTGGGGCGAAATGATGAAACCCGGGATTTGCTTTTGAGACCGTAAAACAAAACGGAAATAGCTAGTCACGTGTATGCGTGTCGGTTGAATTTCTTCTTAAGTAAAGTGCGGGGTAACGACGATGAGTTAATACTAAAAGAACTCTACACTATAGCGGGGGTAAATTTGTACCAAGTTAAAGCAAAAATGAATGATAATAATAGATTTATGAAAATTGTTAATTTATAAGTTATAATAAAAGTAAAGTATAACCTAATTATAAAATATTACTATTAGCTTTAGAAATTATAGTAAAATTAATATTAATTTTAATATATATATTGTATATATTTAAAGATATTTCAGGAGATATTAATTGTTAAACTTTTAAATATTTAAGAAAATCTCTAGAAGTATAGAGCTTTTTTATAAAGCGAAGCTTGTTAAAGTTATTAATATCTTTATATATTAACTTTTTAAATATTTTTTGTAATTCTTAACAATAAACTGGTAATACTCTTACCTACTATTTTATATTACTTTAATATTTTTCTTTTTTCTCGCTAATTTTATTAAACTCGGCTTTTTTTTACTGGTATATTATTTAACTTATAGTTTTTATTTAATTTGTTTTTTAAATTTATTTTCTCTTATACGTCTTAGTTTAACGGAGGACTTACTTTATGTAAATATTAATTACAATATTACTCTAATTTCGCTATAGTATTTTTAAACTTATCTGAGTTATATTAAATGGGGTCCAGATCCTAGCCCCTTTATTATATTTCATACTATAATTTATTATACCCTTTTTATAAAGTTAGTACATTATTACTTTCCTATTCCTCTTTACTTTTAATTTCTTTACTATTAAGATTTTAATTTTTTAACTTAATAACGGGTTAATAAGATATTTACACAGGCGGTCCGTAAAAAATACGTTAGAGTTACGCTAATTATTAGGTAATTTTAATTTATAAAAATACTTTATTACATTTTTAATTTCGTAATATTATTACGTTAACAGATAATCTACTTTATTATTAGGTTTATCGGTAAATAATACTTTTTTTAATAATATATATACGGTTCTACGGTTTAAAAATAGATCTGCGACGGTATTTATTAATTTACTAAGCTTAGCCTTCTATATTTTATTAATATATTCCTTTGACGATCTGGTATAAACTCTTAAATATTAAAATATTCTTAAATATTCTCGCAATTTATTTATTTGTAAATAATTATCCTCTTTACTACTTTTCGTTTATTTTATTTTTAATAGATTTAATATAAAAAAGCCTGTAATAATTTCATAAGGCTTTAGACTAATAATATTATTTGGTATAGAGTTTTAGATTATATTTATAATAGGTAAAATAATGAATTAAATATTTTAATTATACTTCATAAAGAGCTTTAGTTACTAATCGATATATCAATATATAATTTTTGTTTCTCTAGCGACTTAGAAGTAGTTAATATTTCATAACTTTTATATTACTTTATAAATCCTTATTTATAAAATCGGTTACGAATTAAGATGCTTAATTATTTTTAATTTATAAAGGTGTATTAAATATAGGGAAAGTTGTTTATAGTCGTAAAAAGTTTTAATTTTGTACTATAGCGTTAATAATATGAAAGACTACTTATAATAATATACTAGACCGATTAATTATTCTTAGAGTATTGTTATATCTTTATTATTTTGGGGGATACTTTTGAAGTCGACTATTAACTATGACTTATAATTTATCGGGGAAAGTGTAACGAACCCCTGTACAGAACCTCTGAAAGGGATACTGGTTGAAGGTAACTTCTGACAATTAGTTCGGTGCAGCTAAACAGTGCACAACAAGATGTCTCAATGTAAACACTAGCTACCGTGAATACAAGCTTGAATTGCATACTGCGGAACTGTCTATCTACACCAGCCAGTTCCTCCGTATATATAGACCTTGGGGCCGTGAGGTGCTCGCCCTGCTATGAGCCCGATCACTCCTAGCACATTGCATCCTGCATTGTGCTCGTCGTGCTATACCTCTGATCACTCCTAGCACATTGCATCTGCATTGTGCTCGTCGTGCTATGCCTCTGATCATCCCTAGCATCTTGCATCCTGCAGACTGCTCGTGAGCCTTGGCGCCATAGCACTTTTGCCTAGCCCTGATCGGCTTGTTCCCTGACTTCCTGAATGATTGGCTAGGGGCGACCTGCGCCCCACATGTGGCGCGACGTGCCGTTAGGTTAACTGTGACAGAAAGGGATTAAATATAGTAAATCGAAAGTTTTATGATTTAAGCTTTTTATTAATTTATGTTTATAATTAGTAATAAATATATTCTATTTATTGAATAAGTTTTATTATCAGCCATGCTAGTCGATTATCCTTTCTATTTTGCTGTAGCCTAGGTATGTAAATAGTAATTAACTATTAACTTTTTTAACTATAAAAGTTTATAGGTTATTAATTTCGGAAAAAACAACACGTTTACTATAAAATAATAATTTATTTCTCAATATAAAAAGGATTTATTTATATCGTTATTCGCGTCGTTATTGTTAACTTACTTAGTTTTTACTCGTTAAAATGAAAGGCTTTTCTTATCTTTATTAGTTTTGAATAACCGGTTAAAAAAAGCTATACCAAAGTTATTTAAGGTAAAAATATCTTTATTTAATAGTATTAAATTGATCTATTTACTTATGACGAGTTTGAAAGATTAATATCGGCTAATGTAACTATACCCGCTGTACGGAAAATTCATGTAACTTATTTAATATTTTTATATTTGTATTAAGGCCTTACGTTTTGATTTTTTATAATATAGTTACGGTAGCAGCGTTCTCAGTGCCAAGCCAGTAGGTAATAATAAAGTTATATTAAATTATGATAATTATTTAACCGGCCTTATTACTATTAAAGAGTCATTTAATCTTCGAGTATCTAAAATTAAATAGTTTATTATACTAGTAAATAAATGTTTTTTCTTTGCATCTATTAACTTTAACTTTTATTTTTGTAACGTACAGATAACCCCTAAATACTTTTCATTGTAGATAGATAATGATACTCGGCTTTTTTTTACAATTTCGGAAAAGAAATTATTAAATATTATTATTCATCAATAGAATAAAACTACGAAAATACTCTAGATATTAATTAATATGTAAAATCCGTTGTAACTTAAGTAAATAATAAAAAATCAAAGTAATATAGTATTAACGCGCCGAATAATTACTTTTTAAAGTATTGAATAACTTGTATATATTATACTTTATATTTGAAGTTAAAATTCTTTTATAAGAATTTTAAAGTATTTTATTATACGGCTATATTCGAATGTACCGTTACATACTTCTTGGGATTTATTACTATACCGTCAGCCTTTATAATAAAGCGTGAGAAATTTTATACTTTTAGTATCAAACTCGTACTTTTTCATACCTGCTTAAAGGATGATATCCCATAACTTCTTTATTATGGTTTTAATATAAATTTCGTATTTAGCTTTAAACTTGAAATAAATAGTAATATTATTAATATATGTTAAATAATACTTATTAAAGTAGTTAATAAACGTTGCGTTAATATACCTTTAAAACGTTATTAGTTTATTAATTTATTTAAGCGGGCGGATTTATATTTATACGACCCGTAATACGTATAAAGAATCGTTGAATATTAATTAGAGGGATTTATTTGTATATCATTAAATATCAACTTTCTATTAATTTTAATAAAGATTTCAGCTTTAAATAATCGATAATTGTTTCGTCGATTTGCAAAAATAAGTATCGGTCTTTTTTAGTAAAAGCGTTAAATTTATCATAAGTTATGTAAAGTCTTAACGCTTTATTAACTTTTTGTACCAAAAGTATAGGGGTTGCTTACGGGGTATTACTAAGTTTAACTTAACCGTTTTATAAATATTTCGTGATATGTTTGTAGTAATTTTTAATTCCTTCAAGATATTTTATATATGAAGTATATTGCTAGCTTCAAAGTTAATCGATTCGGATCGAACTCGATTTATAAGCGCATTATGGCCAGTAAAATATAATCTCGTTAAACCTTTTTTTATTAACTATGTTATAATATTCTCTATATATTATTAAAACGTATTTTGTTATCATTTTTTTAAACGATTCTTCGTTATGTGGTAATAGTTTTTAACTACTTTTTATTTTATATATACGTATCGATTTTAACTTAATTAATAATAAAGGTCTCGGAGCCGGTAGTATATATAGTAACAGTTCAGGAAATTACGTTGGGCATTATAATATTGAGCTTTATAAACGACGGCTTTACCCTTTTATTGTTGGGAAAAGGCTTTTCGATATATATAGCGTATAGTTTATAATATATCTAGATATTACTAAGCGTCCTTAGGCATTTAAATAGTCTAAGTCCCTAAAGAGGCTTTGATTTAGACCTACTAAAGTAATATAGCGGTATATAAGTATTAATTAGACTTTTTTTAATTACTGGTTAAGCTCTTTAATAAGCTTTAACTCTCTAATATTTTTTCTTAAATCTCTTAGGGACTTCTAACCTTTCTTTTATATT